AACCCCCTGGACAAAACCCCCTGACATAAACCCCCTGGACAAAACCCCCTGACATAAACCCCCTGGACAAAACCCCCTGACATAAACCCCCTTGACAAAACCCCCTGACATAAACCCCCCTGACAAAACCCCCTGGCATAAACCCCCTGGACAAAACCCCCTGGATATAAACCCCCCCCTGACATAAACCCCCCTGGACATAAACCCCCTGGACATAAACCCCCCTGGACATAAACCCCCTGGACATAAACCCCCCTGGACATAAACCCCCTGGACATAAACCCCCTGGACATAAACCCCCCTGGACAAAACCCCCTGGACAAAACCCCCTGGACAAAACCCCCTGACATAAATCCCCTGGACAAAACCCCCTGGACAAAACCCCCTGGCAATAAACCCCCTGGACATAAACCACCTGGACATAAACCCCCTGGACAAAACCCCCTGGACATAAACCCCCTGGACAAAACCCCCTGGACAAAACCCCCTGACATAAATCCCCTGGACAAAACCCCCTGGACAAAACCCCCTGGCAATAAACCCCCTGGACATAAACCCCCTGGACATAAACCCCCTGGACAAAACCCCCTGGCGATAAACCCCCTGGACATAAACCACCTGGACATAAACCCCCTGGACAACCCCCACCCCCAACATAAGCCCCCTGGAGCACGAGTCCTGTTGATACACTGTTGACATCCGTTCAACGGCCTATGATTGATGTCATTGGTAGAAGATCAGTTCATTCGATGAGGATAAACATATTTACGAAGTCAGAGGTCTTCAAGTTAAAGGTCTCAATTTGATAGTCATATTTACAATGCTGTGAAATGTAAAATGCTTCATTTTCTTAAGGGAATATAACCAGGTTAGAGAAATAGGATCAAATATCTTTAGTTGTCTCCCCTGAATGTGTTTTTTTTTTTTTTTTTTTTTTTTAATAAGAAGCAACAATTTACAGAATAAGTATTTGAAATCGAATTTTAAAAATATGCCTAGAATAGGTTTAAAAACAAAAAGAAACATACTTGATGCCATTGTAAGCAAATGCACCTTTTTTTTAAAATGTTGTTTGGTGTTCCTCTCCTTCCGTCCCATGAGCCGCATTTTGCGAGGAACCTTAACTTCTACTGTAGTGAGAACATCCGATATTTAGGGGTTTATTTTTTCCTTCTTTTTTTTTTTTGAAACTTCTCAGAAACGTAAAGTCTAACTTGTAAATAAATCGTTTATTAATTAAAAATATTTTTTAAATGTGTTTGCATAATATGTTCTATACTATGCGAAAATAAATATTTAAAGTATGTGTATGAAGTAATGTAAACTTAGAAATTACAATACTGAATGTTCTGTATTATGTTATTTTTTTTTAGTTTCTATGTATTTTACTAATAAATAACCCAGGTTTAATATTTGTTTTGTGTATATCTGTAACCTTGTCTTAAAATATTAATTTATTGTTGTGCTTGTTTAGCTAGATAGTTCACGTGTTATCTTATTATGAACACAGACTCATGTTAGTACACACAGACAATACTCAATACACAAGAGCTGTATGATGTATCTCATCCCAAGCACTACCTGATATTTCTACGACACTGAAACTTTAATTTTAATTGATATCGGGATATTATTCCAAAAAGTCTAGGTCATTACCCCCCCCCCCCAGGCCGAACCCCCCCCCCCCCACATTACCCCCGGAGAAATACCCCCATGTCAATTACCCCACCCCCGGGACATTCCCACCACCCCCCGACATTCCCCCAACCCCTTGTCAATTACTCATCCCTCTTGAAGAATTACCCCATCCTCCAAGTCCAAGAATCCTGACTCTAACTCCAACTTTGTACCTATGAATTACCTCAATCCTAACCTTAAGAAAAAGCCTAAACCTAAGCATTCAACTCAGCCTAAAACTAAACCCAAACCCATCCCCAATCTCAGTCATTGGTTTAACATTAAGTCTAACCCTGACCCTAACACTAGCCCTAAACCTAACCCTACCCTATTTACCGGGGGTAATGTGGGGGTGGGGTGGGTGGGGGTAATGTCCGGGGAGGGGGTAATTGACGGGGGAGAGGGGGGAATGCCCTGTTCCCTATTCCAACACCTCGTTCATTTGAATTGTTTTTAAATGGGTTCTTTCTTGTGTTTTTGTCAGAATCTTCAAGGGTTCAGCAAGACTTAAAATTCTAATTTGGCGGAGATGAGTTGGGGGGGGGGGGGGGGTATTTACAATTTCCATTCAATGAAGGTCGGTTTCTGGGTCAAGTATGTATTCTCTATATAAACTTTATTCTTTTTTTTTTCTCACGGGGAGTGAGGATGGTGTTCAGCCCCAGCCTTCCCCCCTCCCCTACCCCCGCCCTTAACTGCTAGCGAGAGCTGCATGAGAAAAACACTGAACACAACTCGTTTGGTACTTGGTGCTACTCACACTCGGGGTTTGATGTCTGTATCACACACCTGATGATATTAAATATGATTCTGTGTCTGTAATAGTCTAGTAGCCTCTGTATTGACTCTGTTTTGTTGCGTACAATAAATAGCCCAATAAATGCTATTGTTACGGATATGTTCTTTATTTCTCACTAGAATCTTGCTGATATACTGAGGGCAGAGTTTGTTGCAGGCATCTTTACGGTGATGGCATAGCCCCTCCCCCAACAACAACACCACACATGAGACCAAATCTTGAGAAACACTGGTCACAATGTGTGTATGTATGTATGTTGTCGATGTGACAATATCTTGAGAAACACTGGTCACATGGTCTGTATGTGATGGACGTGACCATATCTTGAGAAACATTGGTCATAGTGTATGTATGTCTGTGGGTTGGGAGGGGGGGGGGGAATGGACTTGTCACCAAACCTTGACATTTCTCTCTCACATTTTAGCAACCAACACTTTTACTAAAAGCAAAAAAAAAAAAATGTGTTTTTTTTTCTTTAATTGATTTCGTTTAAAAGCCTGTTTTAATAAAAAGATTTTTATATGAGTTTTGTTTTCATTTGAACCAGATGTTTTCGATCGTTGAGGACAAACTGCTATTGACACATGGATTTTAATCTTTAAACTATTACCTTTTCTACCAATCGATTTTTCTTTTCTCTACGCAGGTTTAAAATTACAGTCTAAAGGGCCTTCCATAAATGACGTCACATTCGTAGGGGGAGGGGGATCCGTAATTTTGTGACGGTGTTTGAAGACGGGGGGGGGGGGGGCGGTTCCAGATAGTGTGACGTCACACTTGCATTATAATAAAGCAATGTTAGAAAATGAATTTTAGCCGTTATTTCGCGTTTTAGAAACCTGTTTTAATAAATTGTAATAGGAATTGATTAAAATACTCTATGTTGACAGAGATCAGACAAGATTTTGGACAAAATACCGTATTTAAAAAAAAATTCAACTGCAATTTTGAGGGGGAGAGGGGGGATGTAAGCTGAGGTGTGACCAGTGCCGGCGCCAGGTTATTTAGCGCCCTAGAAAAAACTTATTAAAAGCCCCCCCCCCCCCAAATTTTTTCGTACCCCCGTATTATCAGAGGCGTAGCGACCCTTCCCGGCGCCCGGAGACAAACTTTCGATTTGCAACCCCCCCCCCCCCCTCAAACTTTCGATTTGCACACCCCTTCCTTTTGCACCCTCCCCCCTCAAACTTTCAATTTGTTTTTCCAACCCATTTTAGCGCCCACCCTACAGACAGCGCCCTAGGCGACCGCCTAGTTCGCCTTATAGGTAGCGCCGGCCCTGGGTGTGACGTCATTTTAGGGGGGTGCTCTGGCTTTTTGTGACGATATGTGACTGGGGGGGAGGTAAAAATTTATGGATGTTATTTATGGATGACCCCTTAAATTTATTAAAAACAAATTTATCTCTACTTATTTATGTCTTGTTTACAAGTTTAAAAAGCTATAGTTTTTCATGAAAATAGTTTCAAACGTTTAGAGTGGATTAAGCCCCTCGCCCCCCCCCCCCCCCTCAACAAATCTTTCAAAACACATGTCGCCGCCGCTTTAGCCACCTACTCAAGTAGTACAGAGTTACTCGATACTTTTCTTTAAAAGTGGAATATAAAGGGTTTTTTCCCCAGTATTTACCACACAATAAAATTAACGATCAAGTTAGCTTCTACGATTGACCGCTCAATTCATTAACTATAAGCTACATAGGTAGATTTTGTATACATCTTTATTTTTACTTGGTAGGCTCAGGGACAACATTCGGGCAGTTTATTCCACCCCCCCCCCCCACCCGAAGAAAGTCTACCCCCCCCCCCCTACCCGAACGAAATGGAATTTATATTGAAAAAATATACTTTTAACAGTGTCCGCCCCCCCCCCCCCCCGAAAATTTTAGTCCGCCCTCCCCCCCCCCCATCCCCCCGAAAATTTCAAGTGCTCCCCCCCCCCGGAGAAAAAAAGTCTGGAAGAAACACTGCATACGGGCTCCTGTTAAAGAACAGAACTCGAGCCTTTAATCCACATTCTGGCTTTCATGTTTTCTACCCCTCCCATTTAGGATCCAAATATACTGACATAATGTTTTATTAAGATTGTATCGATGCAAGTTAGGAGTAACGCGGGTATACAATCTATGGCATTACAATATACATGTATAAAATTAGTGATACTACAATATATATATATATATATATATATATATATATATATATATATATATATATAACCTATGAAATTACAATATATGTGTATCAATCCTAAGATATAACACGGTTACTATGTGAAATCAATTATTGACATTACACAATATATATATATATATATATATATATATATATATATATATATATATATATATATATATATATATATATATGTGTGTGTGTGTGTGTGTGTGTGTGTGTGTATGTATAAAGCCTAGAGCATTACAATATGCATATATAAAACCTTTGAAATTACAATGTATGTATTTATATTAAGCCTAAGACATCACCATACATCTATAAAACCTAAGACATCATACATAACATGTATAAACCTATGACAAAAACCTACTTGTGTGTAATCAATGTTTTTACTAAACCTCACACCGGTAGTTTGACCGTCTCGTCCTGTTGTAACAATGAGTTGATTTGATCCGTGTACTTCTGCCTGCTGAACTCAAGTTTAAGTTTTTGTATGATCCCTCCTGTGGTTGCCCCTAGGGCGGTGGTCGTGGTGATCCCACCCGCCACCACTATGGCCAAGGGAATGGCGCCCCCGCAGGTCAACACTGAGGCCATGACGGCGCCCGTGATGGTGGCGGCGCCCACCAGGGCTGTGGCCACACCTCCACCGACTAGCAGTGGAGTTGGTGGATCGAACCGTTCCATCAAGGCGTTGAGAGAATCGATAGCTTCATTTACAGATACACTCGGGTCCATGGCCTGTAACGTGTCAACGATTACCTGGACGTCCGCCTCTAAATTCACTAACATGTCAGATCCAGCGGCCTCTTCCTTTATACTAGCCAACAAATCCTTCGCTCTATCCACTAATTTCCTTATATGTCTATCCCGTGTTGTTAACAGCTTCATTTTCTGCAGTAGATGGTAAAACTCATCTAACATTGCAACGGGATACATTTGAATTAATGCATTTTTAATCGGGTTTGAAAGAGACGAGTTAACGTGTAGCTGTGTAAAGAGTTTGTCAACCTCTTCTTTTAGCGATGTGCATGTAGCCGGGTCTAAATCGTTGTTTTCTTCATCGATAGATCTCGTTATGCAATTTAAACCGTCTTGGATGATCGTTTCAGTTGCTTCTTGAGACATATCACCCTTTAGTAATTCAAATAAGGAGAAAAACGAATTAAAAATTGGCGTTTCAACCTTGGAGAGAATACTTTGAATCTGGTGTATAATTTCAATAGTTATATCAACTTTGTTGATTTCTTCTTGAACTGTTTGTATTTTATCGACAAGGTAAGAAATAAGGGGACCATCTGTTGCTAGACTGAGGCCTTGGAGAATTAATTCAGATTTTTCCTTGATGAAGTCGACCTGTTTTTGAAGATTTGTGAACAGGTCTACTTCTTCTTTAAGAAGGTTGATTTTCGATTTAATTTCAAGGTTTAATTCTGTCAGTCCGTGTGCTAAAACAATTCGCTTTCTCTGTTCCGAAAATGTTTCGAATAGTTCATTAGTGTAGGGTGCCGTGGCGCTTTTCATTTGGTTTGAAATTTCCATGAATGTTTTAACACACTGAAGCTTTTCAAAAGTGGTGCCATTGTTGTTGAATAAAACTATTCTGTACTGACACTCTTTGAATAATTCCTTGGCAGGGCCTCTTTGGTTTTGGCACCACGTGGTAAAATCACATGATTCGTCATATAAATCTCCTCTGGTGAACACAACGAGGCAGTAATCCCGGACGAAGTTCTCACCGAAGACGGTCTTGAGAACGTTCAGAACTTTGATCTCCTCGTCTGTGAATTTGTTGTGGAGACTCAGGACAAGCACCAGCGCGTGTATACCTCCAGGACAGGCCTGCATCAGCGCCACCATGTCGGTGTACACCCTCCTCAGCCCGTCAACTGTATTCACATCTGTATCCATGAGTCCAGGGGTGTCCACTACTTGAATCTGATGACCACAGAACTCCGTGAAATCCTCCTGTATGTTATCAGTGCAAGAAGTCAAGCTATTGGACTCTTTAAACCTTTTTTTACCCAGTAGAGTATTTCCTGTGGCACTTTTCCCATTGCCGGTTTTACCTACCAAAGCTAAACAAAAGCATGTTCCATTTGGCCTTGATAGTTGACTGCCCATGTTGCCTGTAAAGTAAGCTTTAGGTTTTTGAAAACTGTATTTGTAAAATGTGTTATGTTCGTGTTTTCCAATTTGGTTTGTGTAATGCGATTTTTTTAGGGGGGTGGGGAGTGAACTAGATACCAAAACCTTTTTTTTTTTAAATTAGATATAAAAATATATAATACAGTTGTGTGTATATTAAACATGTTTAAATATATAATACAGTTGTCTGTATGTTAAACGTGTTTAAATATATAATACAGTAGTCTGTATAGTAAACATGTTTAATCATACAGAATTAACTGGGAAAATATGTGTAAGAAATCAATCAATGTATGCACAAAGTTACAGTTGAAAACTAAAACACTCACCTCCAATTCCGTATTTTATCGTAAAGTGAAAGGTTTTCGCGCCTATGTGATCAGGGTAAATTTTAAATGTAAACTTCTCTACTTGGATAAATCAGAGTGACTGGATTTTCACCATCTGCTGCAGCTGAGTAATATTGCTATGTGCGTGAGTGTGTGTAAAGATTTCATTGAAATCAAAACGTCAATTTTACACTCCAGCGATTCTAATATTCTTATTTACTTCCCTGTTATTTTAAACATTTTATATTCAGCAGTAAGCAATGATGTGGAGTAGGTTTGAGAATGGTTAAAGATTTAGAAATCAAAAGGTTGAGTCGACGCTTGTGTAAGATGATTCATCAATTTTAACTCACAGGTTGTTATTTACTTCTCTGTTTGTTTAACGTTTTATATTCAGAAATAATCAATGATGTGAAAAGGGAGTAAGAAGCCATACGCCGCAATCCTAAAGCTAAATTTAAGTTTAAACGGAATTGAATTAAAGTAAAGAATCCTCTGTAGACCTAGTGATCCATTGGGCAGATGAAGTAGAGTTCATGTTTATCGGCATATGAAGTGATAATGTGGTCAGCACTATGCCCAGCCGCCTTTGCTTTCCCATCAGAGCTGGGTGAACTCAGGGACGTTCCACTGACTTGAACCCGGATTCGAACTCGAATCTTAGCAATCTATCGCTCTAGCACTAGACCACGCCGTCCCATATGTAACTGAATGGATAGAAAAACAACCTTTTGCTCAAAAGGTGAGTTCTTTAAAACAATATTTATTTGAAAATCAATCGATATTTGTAAATATGAAACATATGATAGCGTACTACGTTGACATACATTTCTTGCAAAAGAGAAAATGAAATTCCTTTAATCTCAGTAGAATTGCGTCGAATAGTTTGTAAATGAATAAACTGATAATTGTGTCATATTTTGTTTTCAGTAAAACCTTATGAGTGTGGTTATTGTTAAGACTAGTGATGTTCAATATATTTCTCTTCACCGTGTATTTTTTCTACTGTACAGCTGTGGTTTTAGCCTTTTACTGATGGGGTTTACGAGAATATAATCTGAGAACCACTGGTGATAGGGATTAGTCCACTTGGCTTTCCTCGGAAAATGTTTTTAAATCTGACTGAATAAATAGTTGCGTTTATATTTAATAGAAAAGACTGTTAAGTGTACACTAAACATTATAAAAAAAAACAGCATGCGAATCTAGAGACATGTTTTTATGAATAACTTTACTCATTACATCTCAGCTTTCTTTAGTGAATTATAACACTTGTTTTAGTAAATGTTTAACTACAACATTAAAGAAATGTGCTGTAAGTAGCAAATTAAAACCAGTGAAGCGTCTAACAAAAGTAAAATAAATGTAGTATGAACAAATGTAAACAAATGATATTTTGTCTCCATCGCTGGAATGGTGATACGGAATAGTCGAATAATTATACATACGATTGCTATGGGCATAGTCATGACAACACTATCACTACATATGCCGAGGTCACAAAAGCAGGTGAACTCTACTTCACTTGCCCCATGGCCCGTCAGGTTCGAAAAAGGAACAAAACTTTATTACAGGAACTACTAGCTCAAATATAGCCAGACCGACACAGGATGTTGAGTCAATCTGTTCCCGTACTAATCCGTGGTGACCTACTAATCCGTGGTGACCTACTAACGTGGTGACCTACTTATCCGCGTTGACCTACTAATCCGTGGTGACTCGGCTTTGTACACGGATGTATGATAAACTGAGGGGTCAAGGTTGGAGTGGGTTGTTGGACAATCTAGACCGTCACGTGAACTTCTGGGCATTGTCTGCGTTGTAACGTTAGACTAGGCCGTCACTTAGTGAGTTATGTGGTATCTGATCTAGTGTAAACTTTATACGGGGCGTTAGCATAGATCTATTGTAAACTTTACACCACAAGTTAGACATAGATCTATTGTAAACTTTACACCACAAGTTAGACATAGATCTATTGTAAACTTTACACGGGGCGTTAGCATAGATCTATTGTAAACTTTACACCACAAGTTAGACATAGATCTATTGTAAACTTTACACCACAAGTTAGACATAGATCTATTGTAAACTTTACACCACAAGTTAGACATAGATCTATTGTAAACTTTACACCACAAGTTAGACATAGATCTATTGTATACTTTACACGGGGCGTTAGCATAGATCTATTGTAAACTTTACACCACAAGTTAGACATAGATCTATTGTAAACTTTACACCACAAGTTAGACATAGATCTATTGTAAACTTTACACCACAAGTTAGACATAGATCTATTGTAAACTTTACACGGCAAGTTAGACATAAATCTATTGTAAACTTTACACGGGGGGGGGGGGGGTAGACATAGATCTATTGTAAACTTTACCCGGGAGAATTAGATATAGATCTATTGTAAACTTTACACTGGTGAGTGTAACACACCACCATTGCATTAGTTGAGTACAACTGTAGAAACAATCATCTCAAACACACCAACGTTACATCATTTCAGCACAGTTGTAGGAAACAAACAACCCACCAACTTTAGAACAGTTGAGCACAACAGTAGAAACAAACACGTCTAACATACCAACTTTAGAACACTTGAACACAACAGTAGAAACAAACACGTCTAACATACCAACTTTAGAACACTTGAACACAACAGTAGAAACAAACACGTCTAACATACCAACTTTAGAACAGTTGAGCACAACAGTAGAAACATACACGTCTAACATACCAACTTTAGAACACTTGAGCACAACAGTAGAAACAAACATGTCTAACATACCAACTTTAGAATTCTTGAGCACAACCGTAGAAACAAACACGTCTAACATACCAACTTTAGAACACTTGAGCACAACAGTAGAAACAAACACGTCTAACATACCAACTTTAGAACAGTTGAGCACAACAGTAGAAACAAACATGTCTAACATACCAACTTTAGAATTCTTGAGCACAACCGTAGAAACAAACATCGGAACATTATAAATTCAAATCTGTAGGGCACTAGATCACATATTTTAGAGTTTTAGAGTATATATATATGAGACACCAACATTAGAAAGTTAGAGCATTAGATCATTAAAGCAGATCTATATAACACAGATATTATGGCCTATCTATAAAAAACTATATTAAAACATTAGAGTACTTATATAAAACATCAAAATAAGTACAGCATAGCACATCTATTTAAAATAACATTAGAAATGTAGTGCACATTTATAGAGCAAATATTAACATATGATACTAGAGAACTATTGTATAGCTATAGCTCAGCACTACTGTTTACTACTTACTATGACATTTAATGAAGGCAAATAAAAATTAATACTAAAAAACAATAATTGTTTATAGTAAATTATTGTTTATAGTTGGGTAAAATCACATGTAAAGATTTAAAAGAATACCAATATTCAGATCAACCAAACCATTTCTGAAACTAAAGTTCCAGTTCAGCTACGCTTTATTAAAACCGTAAACTCAGTGTCCATGATCACAACAGTAAGCACCTATCGAAGACGTGTGACTCTTGTCAGGAACATGGTCTACGACGTTTTGCCGCTACGAAGTGTATTTAAAATATGTATTTTGAACAACATATACTATACTTTTTTTTTAAATTTAATAAATTAGTGTTGTGATTTCAAGTTGTGTTGCTTAGATGAATACTTGTCTTCGTTGACCAAAGTGTACACTTGTGTTGAATTCAAGTCCTGCTTGTAGAATATATTATTAAATAAATCGTTAAATAAAACAAAAGCAGAATTATAATGATATCGTTAAGATGTATGAGAAATAAAATGGCAAAAGCTGTATGTATTTTGCCTGTTGTATTTCGTTTCCTTGTCATTTTTCAGAAGTGTTCTGTTTCTCTTCTTGGTCAACTGTTTTAATTAAAAAAAAATTATTTCACATAAAGGGGATTTTCACAGAAACGTAAAAAATTTAAACCGTCGAAATTTGCAAGAAGTTTTCAAGTTATTTTTTTATTAAGCGGATGTTGTATTTTGTTTCGCTGTAATTTTCCAGATGTATTTTCTTCCTCTTCTTGCTCAACTGTTTCAGTAAAATAATTTCACATAACAAGGATTTCCATAAAAACATAAAAATTTAAACCGGCGAAATTAGTAGGAAGTTTTCCAGTTATTTATGTATAAAGCGGATATTTGTAGAATCAATAAAATTTTATCTTTTAAACCAATGAGATCTTTGTAATAATTTTTTAGATATGTTTATAGTCAGTTATTTTTGTTTAAGTAAACACATCGGAACACTGTAAACAATAAAACAGTGCCGATAAAACAATTTCTGGATGTTATAGCACACAGCACGGGCAATAAGTTAAAACAGTGTTTTATAGATTTAAGCTTCAAGTTGTCATACAACAAACAACAAAGGGGTTGTCTGTTGACTGGGTACAGGAGAAACACTTAAAATATCTTCAGTGTTTTTTATCGTGAGTATTATAGGTACAGACATGTTGATGTGTAAGTGCTTGAAGTCGATCGGCCATTGCTGGCTGTGAGCTGGATATGTTCAAGTACCGTTTTACATGCTTTGTGTCTGTCAAACTTGACCTCAGTACTTCATCGGTTACACAATTCACTGAAAACATATTGTAATGTTATAGCGTTTGAGTTTCCATACATGTAATAAGATCTTAGTGAGAAGAGCTCTTCGTATTTTCGGCATCTCCAGTCCCCGAAAGCAATTCGGATAACATTGAAAATAACTGAACTCGGTGACAAAACTGTGTGTTAATGTCAAGTAACTTAAAGATCTCAGCTTTTGTCTCGTGTGAACAAGTTTCAGCGAGAATTGATCCGGTTCATCAGGTTCAAAAGCCGTTGTCGTGTTTCAATGACACTACAGGGACATTTTAAACCAACAATCATATTTTACTTGCATTTAGGTTACGTAGCTTTTTCTTTAAATAAACACATTACATAGTGCTACACAGACTTTATTCGCCACATAAAGTATATACATCGACATCCTTGCGTGTAAGCTTATTGTTTGTTTCAAATTGTATTTTG